CACACACACACACACACACACACACACACACACACACACACACACACACACACACACAAGAACAAGTTGCTGTAATGCGTGTACACAAACGTGCGCTCTGAGGGCCTTAAGATGTTTGTTTTCTTCCTTTTAAATCCAACATTAAATCCATCTAATACGTCACTGGACTGAGTGAATCAGGAAATTGTCTTTCGCGGTGCGTGTTTATGTTCTCATTGTTAGATAATGTGTGGTCTAAACTTCACAACTGGGACTCAAAGTCAAATCCCCAGGCAAGGGAGAGGGAGCATGGGAAAAGAGCCGTCCCACATTCACAGAGGAGTGCAGGATTATTGTCTGTTTGGCCTCTGACAAATCAGCACAGATGAGATTTAGGCTCATCAAGTTGTCAATTAAAGACACTTGGGCTTTTAATCTGTTTGAAGGAAAACTATCTGACAGATTGAATGCTTTTATAGTTATTTTTTAGCTTTAAATATTGTTGAAATAGTTTTTATTCCTCCTGCAGCAGCTAGCCGTTTGATAAGTGATCAGTCAAAGATGGTGGCTTCGCTGCACATCGCCGTGTTTCCAGGCCATGCCAGGACACTCTCCCGCACACCGAGCCCCCGACAGCATGCTCTCCCATGCCAAGGCTCGCCGCTGTTCCACTCTACACAGCAAAATGTATTTATAAACATAAGCCTGATGGTAGACATGCACACAGCACCGCTCACACGCATGCTTGCACGTGCACAGACTTTGGTTCGAGTTCAGTGCACCATCAGCAGGTTCTCAGTCCAGTTCCCTCTGGTCAGTGCGTGTGTTTGTTCTAGGCTGCGCGCACACACACGTGCTTGGATTCATACAGAACCTGTGAAACATTATTTTATGAAGTTCTGGAGGGCCGTGCTGATAGATCTGTGAGGTCTAGCAGCAAAACTTAATGAAAACCTGGAGAAAATCTCAGAAGCTGTTGGGAGAAAAATAAGAGAGCAAAAGTCTTCAAGTGCAGAAATGTTGGGGTGTAACTTTGCTTTCTTTCATCCCACTTCATGTTAAATTAGTACGTAGTGTTGGTGTTCATTAAAGGTACTCATCGCTAACTAGAAATTAAACTTCTCCATCCATTCCATGGACGGCGCCATAGTTGATCTGTTTTTATCACTTTGGCTGTTTCTGGATGTAAACAAACAATCAGTAGTTGGCAGGATTTGTCTACAAATGTTTAATTGAAAGACGTTAAACATGGGAAAATAAATCTGGCTTCTGGTTTGTTTTCTTGAACCATTTTTAGTTTGACCAGTCTTCATGATGTTACTGAGTCTCTAACCTGCTGATAGCCAACCAGCTAACATCAAAACCTGCTTAAATGTTGGCGTATCTGTGTAGTTTATTAAAAAATCCAATTAACTAGTTACTGTTTAAATATTTTCATTCGTTTTAAGGATTCTGCTGGTTGGTATCAGCTGGATAAAACACTGACATTAATAATTAAAAAATACATTTTAATTCACAAGATCCCATTGGCTATTATTATTATAATCCACCTACATGTATGTCCAGAATCTGTTTATCGTCATCATCGTCATCATCATCAGTATTACTTTCCTCAATTCTACAGCCTAAATCACAACTGAGTTTTAAAAATGAGTCAATTTTTTCAACAAAAATATTACTGTCTGCTAGCTTTTTGTGCTGTTTGTAAAAATAAACCAAACTCTGTCCAGAAAACTAAACTAAAACAAAACTTCAACAGAAAACTGAACTGAAAGAGGCCAAATTAGTGAAAATTATTTTTTTAATTTTTTTTAATATATAACCAAATCAAACTTTTGGACACGATTCATATGTATTATATTTTTATTGAAGTGAGCCTAACGTTTTTGTCTGGTTATATTTTAAGTTTATTGATCAATTATGTAAACATTAGTCCCAGCAGGATATTTAAAAAAGACACATTCTGCTGTTTTTAATTAGTCTTTTAAAAAGTAACAATTTTTAAAGTTATTCTATTGTTTCATCTTGGCTTATAAAAGCTTTGTTTACTTGTTTAATCACCTGGAACAGAAATATTTGGACAGAAAAAGGTTTTAAAGGAACATCACGTTTTACACGTGTTGTTCTCTCTCAGCCAGGTTTACACAACCAGAATGCATCAGCTTATCTAAACTGATTGTGTGAACTAATTCTGTTAAAGTGAATCACATTCAGGTTGATTATCTCTAATGGTTGTTGTTTATTTTTGCTTGTTTTTTTTTCTTCTTCCCTATCGCTTCCTGTCTGTGGCCCGTTTCCTGCGGCTCGCTCTGCTCAGATCCGGTACATCTCTCAGACGCAGGGGCTTCCTGCCGAGCAGCTGCTCAACAAGGGGACAAAGACCTCACGCTTCTTCACCAAAGAATCTGACTCTCCCTACGCCTCCTGGAGACTAAAGGTACTTCACACAAACACACAGCTGGTTGTCTGTGAACCACACACCTTTTACCAGTTTATGATTGTTGTTGTTTGTGGGGTCACAGATAAAAGAAGAGGAAGATTGAAATGATTGGCACAGGAAGTGTTTTTCTTTCTTTTTATTGTTGGAAATTAAGTGGCAGATGTCACCAATAGAAAATAGCTGTTTAAATGCTGTCTAAACAGACTGAACCAGGTCATCAGGAAACACAAAACTGTGTTTAGACTTCGGCTAAATAAAGTTTAGAGTCAAGGAGAGAAACTGCATTTTCTGCTGAAAGAATGACAAAGAAGCTGAAACTTGCTTTGTTTTAGTTAAAGAAGCAGAACACCAACTAAAGGGCTAAAGAAGCTACAAGTTACAAGTAGAGGAGCTAAGTATAAAAAAAGTAGCAGAAATGGAAAAAAATGACTAAATACCTGTTTAAGGGTAAAAAACTGCAAAAGACTAGCCTAAATGTAAATTAGCCTAAAGTGCCTGTGACATGTATATCCGTGAAGGACAAAACGTCAAAGAAAATACATTTCTATTGAAGAAACTTGGCATAAAACACATGATTTTGCCCTTTATGTCACATAACTGGCATATTTTCTTTTGAATTTGGCTCAGCTAAAATGAAACAGGAAGTGACATCAAAGGGAAACTCTGAGAAAGAAAACTTCCTGGTTTTTGTTTTTTTTAAACAATATTATTTGAACTCCGACTCTTTCTCATCTCTCTATGATAGTGATTAAAATAATCTAAAAAAACATCAGATTCTTCTCTGCATTCTGTGTTGTTAGCCACAGTAGCATCGCTCTGTTCACATGCAGACATCCCCCTTTGACATCACTTCCTGTTACTGCACAAACAAATATCTCAACTGTTCATCTCAGCGGCATGAAATCTTTTTTACAATATGTTATCAATGTTATCTTTCCAAGAATACATTCATATTTATTACAAAAATTTGATGTAGACACTTTAAAGGTTAATGCAGTGATGAGTGAGCTAACAGTGAGCTAACTGTCAATGCTAACATTAGCACAAGGATAGCTAAAGTAGTCCAAAGTACGCAGAAGTATTTATGTTGCAAATACGTTCAGAAAAATACAAATGTGAAAAACATCCGTGTGAATGCTGAATCACTTCAAAACCTTTGACAGGGACTCCAGACACTCGAGTTGCTAAACGTAGTTTTTTGACTTTTTCCTTCTTCATCATGAAAACAAATCCAGAGACGCAGTGATGTTTCAACACAAGCTGCTTACTCAGACTTTTCTTCTGCCAGGACTCTCTGAGCTCCTTTTTTTAGGCTGTGTGGAGATAAAAAAAATAAGGTTTATATAAAAACTATATGTTGGGGGGTTATTGATGCTACTGTTCCTGGTGTTCCTCCAGACCACAGAAGAGCACGAGAAAGAGACGGGACTGAAATCCAAAGAGGCCAGAAAATACATCTTCAGCTGTCTGAATGACATCGCTCACGTAAGTCTCATCAGAGTGTTTTAAATAAAAAGAAATGGATCCAGACAAAATTAAAAAGGCATGCTTTTCATTGTATCTTACTGCTTTAAAACCACCAGTTATTAGTGGTTTATCAAAGAAACATGATTAAATTAAACGTACCAACCAGGATCAGAACGTCTTGGACTATCAGGGCTCCCTGATATTTAAAGAAACCTTAGTTTGTTTGTTTTTATTACCGGGGATGTTAAAAACCAAAACTTAGACTTGACATTTTAATTTGTCATTGACTGTATTGAAAACTCAACTGGTTTGAAACGGGTCTTCACAAAAAGTTTTCCTGTTTTTCTAATATTTTTTCAGGATTTTAATCCGCTCATATTCTGTATTCATTTATTTTTCTTATTTTTTATTTTAAGCCTGGACCTCACATCCATTCCCTCTTACAGGATCCCTTTAAAACTCTCCCATTAATCAATCTGCTGTGTGGTTTTTTATTTTAATTCTTAGGTTAGTTATTGACTGCGTTGTCGTATTTCTGTTTCCTTGTTGCCTCAGGTGAACTTGGTGCTGATTCCTGATAACTGCGACATGGAAGCAGAGAAAGCAGACCGGCGGGAGTTTGTGTCTCTTCTTAAAAGCATGCTGCTGATCGACGCCGAGGACAGAACTGTTCCCTCTAGTGTCCTAAATCATCCGTTTCTCACCATGACTCACCTGCTGGACTTCCCCCACAGCAACCAGTAAGGCTGTGACAGCTTTTTTTTGTTTGTTTTCACATTTCCCTGTTTTGTTTTTTTTATAAATGGCATCGTGAACTGGTGTGACCTGAAAACATGTTGCATTTGTTCAGTTAAAGAGTTCCTCCTCAAGCAGTCCATTCAAATATGAAACTTTGTGTTTGTGTAATTTATTGTTTAAAACATGGACCAACGAAGACAAAAAACTGCTACTAGTGGCTGGTGCTCGGTATCATGACCAATTCACTAGATCGATTTGATTTTGATTCATAAGGTTCTGAATTGATGAATCATGATTTGATTTGATTTAATCTGCTCTTAAATAATGAAAATGGTTCAACTGTGTTGCAAAATACAAATTCACTATTTTATCTCTTCACCATAAACGACAGGTTTTAAGGACAAACTTTTAAATTAAACCGTTTAATCTTGAAGGAAAACTGTCACAAGTTTAAAAGGTTTTAAATTAAAAGGAGGTGACGGTGTTGTTGGAGGAATTCATTTTTAAGAAACTAATAATTTTCTTGATAAATAAGAAGTGATGGAATAAGGCTGCAGGAGAAGAGGTGGGCTAATATAAATATACTTCTGCCCACTCCCGTTGAGTTTATTAAAACTGTAAATTTGTAATGTTTCTGTTACCTTCTGTTATGTTCAATATAACTTATTAAAACTTGTTACTTATACCTTATTAAAACAAATAATACAACTACAACATTTCATCACTGTGGATTTCATTAAGACATTTCTGAAACTTTAAGCAGCGCTAACACAGCCTCGCTGTCAGTTGACTGGCAGCCGAACGTCGGGGTCACCAAAATGTAAGAAATAAGTGTTCAATATCGGCTGAAGTTAGATGAAAACACAAGAGTTAAATAAATGGATCTGTGATAGGAATAATTGTCATACAACACCAGAATTCTGGATCTGAGTGAGGTTTATTTGCCACCGGACTGACAAGCCAAACCACACTGGATGAAAAACAGGAAGTGCATGTTTTTATACACGATTCTTCAATGCCTGAGTTCGCCCCCTACTGATCTACGGCTGAATCACAGGCATTCAGACAAAGACCTCACTCTAATGGATTAAAAATGGTTCACTTATGTGTTGGTATGATTCGGACATGTATCTACTCTATTTCAATTAACCCATAATAGATCAAACATTATAAAAGTGTTATAAAAAGAAAACCCTAATACTCTGGTGTTGTTTCTAATATCAGTACTAATCTATAATAACTATAAATTTCTTCAATAGTAATATTGGTAACAAACTACTGTATTTATCCCCCCCCCCCCCACACACACACACACTATGGATGATTTTCAGGGTTAAATTTTTAGTATTATACATGAATAAATATAATAAAAGCTTTTGTTAGAAAGTCGTTTTTCACACGTTTTAAACATGCTGAGCAGTTTCAGTCAGATGTTTACATACAGTTTGGATCGAGCTAACGAGCCGCTCATCGAAGCTTCGTTTTTGTTACAGCGCAGGAGCGCAAATCTTTGCAAGCAAAAGTCTCCATGGTCTCTGTTGTCTTTAAGTTCTGCTGAGAATCAGCTGATGATGTGAGTGATTCTTTAGTTTCTGTTGTTTTGATCCAGACAACTTGTTAGCGAAAGCTAACGTTAGCACTGAACGTCAACTGGATGTGAACCTTCGGCAAGCCAGGAGTGACAAAATATAGAAACACGTTTCAGATGCGCACAAGACGCCATGGGGAAGAATCGATCTCATGTCCTGTGAATCGATTTTCTCAAATTTAAATGAAATCGATCCAAGATCGATTCAATCGATTTTTTTTAACCAGCCCTACTATTGGCAGCCAGTAAGAAATACGTTATGAAGAAAAGGTTAAAAGTGGAACCTCCCTCTATTAAAGGATGGATTAAAATTGTGTATCAAACTTATATTGTGGAAAAGATATATTTTTCCCTCCCAAGTTAAAAAAAACAGTAAAATTTAATAAGATCTGATGGACCGAGCATGTAAAACCAATTAGATCTGATTTTATTAGACTTTTGTGAACTATGTGACCATGCCCTTTGTTTATTTTCATTGTTTGAGGTGGTGCGCTCCCTAGTTTTGTTCCGTTCTGTTTAATTTTGTTATTGTTCTCAGCTAAAAGTGGTTCATAAAAGAAAATACCAGAAAAAAAACTTCCTTCTCACGTCTGTGTTTTTCCCGCAGCGTGCAGTCGTCGTTCCGCATCATGGACATGTGCCACAGCCGGCCGAGCAACGCCGTGTTCGATGCGCTGAACCAGAACACCATCCATTTAACCCGGCCCCCCTTAGCCCCCGCTGCGACCTCCGGCCTTCCCATGGGCTACAGTAACATCCCGGTCCACACGCAGGTGAGATGTCGGTCCTGTGTGAGGTGTGAACTGAGGGCAAACATCGACCTAATGCAGCAAGTGTAACGATGTGTTCATGTTTTTGTGTTCTTATCTTCACCCCACCGCTCCTCTTCGTCTCCGCTGCAGTCTTTAACCCAGTCGGCTCCATCCGTGTTGCACCCTGGGATCGCTCAGTTTGGATGCAGTGATTCCTTCCCACCTGCTCTTCTTCTTTGTCCTCCTACAATGCAAGGTATCCAGACTTCTATTAAACATTTCTTTAAAGTTTTTTTTCTTTTAGTTCTCTTTTTTTACTGTTATTTCAGTTTTTTCTTTTGGATACTGTTTTTTTTTTTTTTTTTACAGCCCCCAACAAATTTTCTCGGGGTAGTGGAGTTGCTTTTTTGATCTGTTTATCATTAGTTAATGGCTTACTTATCTTCCTTTTCTCAAATGTTAAAGATGACTTTGTGTTGTAGAGGCCAAATGTTCTTTTAAAACTGTTCGCTTGAGAATTAATAAAGACAAAAAAATAGTTAATTGTAAAGAAAAAAGCTGAAAAAAATATGTTTGTGGAGATTTTCTTATAACTGTGCAAAGTTGTAGAGGTCAGTTTTTTTCTTTTTGTTTTCAAAAGGTAACCTGAACCAACCAGCAACCTATTCTGTCCCCATGGTAACTCAAGCCCCTCCCATACAGCCTCTACCTGTGAGGCCTGGCGTAATAGCCCAGGTAAGAAACCAACTCTTCTGTAAGCTGTGTACTCATTGGGGTTGAAACCACTTCAAACCCTGTGAGTGTGTTTACATTTCCAGCAGCATAGCGACATAATCGCATGATTGCAGCTGAGTGAGACCACACCCATCTTCTAACCCTTCAATTTCATCGCAGCTACTCATCTTGTGAAGTTTCAGGACTTAAACCTGATTTATGCTCACTGAGAAGGCCCATTCTAACCAGTTATCACAGCACTGTGCTTTACATAAGTGAAGCGGTGACAGTGAACTGATCTCAAAGCAGCGTCTGCTGAAAGAAGCTGCTACAGCTTGTATTGATGTATTACATCTATGGGATAAATCTTGTTCCAGCAGGAACTGAATTTGAATAGCTCAGATAGAATCTGAATGTGCATCATTTGAAATTGAATGCATTGATTAAAAAATTTTTTTTGCTAAATTGAAACGGAATTTAATGAATTGAAACTTAATTAAAACTTTTGAATTTGAATTACTTTGCTTTGAAACTGTATTTTGGTTTATTAAAAACTCAGTTTGACTACTTTCACTTTCAGTTCCATAATTGAGATTTTTGTGTCACATCCTGGTCCTTGAGAAAGCCAGGCAGAGTAATCAAACACAGATCCACAGATTTATGTTTCACTTTGGTGAAGTTTCCCTTCTGTATGTAACAGAGTTGATACAATCCACCATAAAAGTGACAAAAACAGACAGTTATTTTATTGCAGTGATTAATTTCACCTATATGTAGGAATAGATCACATATTGATCAGATGCTGCTGCTGACTGATCCATGATGGGATGTAAATGTAACATTTTCTACATATAGGTCAAATTAATCACTGCAATAAAATAACTTTGTTTTTGTCACTTTTATAGTGGATTGCATCAACTCTGTTACATACAGAAGGGAAACTTCACCAAAGTGAAACATAAATCTGTGGATCTGTGTTTGATTACTCTGCCTGGCTTTCTCAAGGACCAGGATGTGACACAAACATCTGAATTATGGAACTGAAAGTAAAAGTGGTCAAACTGAGTTTTTAATAAACCAAAATACAGTTTCAAAGCAAATTAATTCAAAACTTTAAATTCAGTTTCAGCTTAGTAAAATTCTTTTTCAAACCAATGCATTCAATTTGAAATTCATTCCCTGCTGGCACAAGATGATCCCATATACAACATCTCATTTTGTCCCCCTGCTCCTTTAGCAGGCCTGGTCCAGTCGGGGTCAGCAGCTTCTGGTCCCAGCAGCCTGGCAGCAGATGGCTCCCGTGGGCCCTCCTCCCTCCCACCCACCTCCACCTCCTCCCTCTTTAACCAGTGACACTGCAGCAGGCCCACCGAGGATCAGCGACTGGGGGTGAGTCACCAAAACCTCGAGTCATCCTGACGTTCAGGCCCAGTGTTCTAATATGTATTCTGTCTCGCTTTAACTGGAACAGGAAAGTGCGCTCTCACGGCGGCCATTTTAACGCAATGATGCAGCAGCCGCTCCTGAATAATCAGATTCCAGCCCTCTCCGCTCATCAGCCAATCAACATCGGCATCGCTCATGTCGTGTGGCCCCAGCCGGCCAGTAAGAGGAACAGACAAGGACACAACAGGTAGATCCTGCTTTCTTTAAATCCAAACTGTTCTGACATCTTTAAACTTATCTAATATATGAATTATTCCACGTGAAAGGAACCTGTCCCACCACAACAACATCCACGTCTCAACATGCCGGTCCCCCAAAATGGCCGACGTCGTGGGGCAGGCAGCGGCAGGGAGAGAGCAGCCTCAGAGGGTGATGCCCCTGGTGGAAACCCGGCGGCCGGGAGTCCAGAACACCAACGAGGAAGAAGACGGCGCCGAGCACGGGGTGAGCTGCTTGAAACAGGCGGCGCCGGACGCCAGCAGGCAGGCGGAGCTTTCAAGGCAGCCGCAGAGGGACGCGGCGGTCCTCATGGCCGACACCCCGAGCCCTGCTCCCAGCGCGATCAGCATCCGCAGTGATGTGAGCGACGAGGACGAGGGAAATCCCCGGGGTTGTCCTCTGAATCAGTGAGTATATTTAGGACGGAGTAGAGTTTAAGGTGGTTTTATTTGGCAAACAGGTGCACATTTCTGTTGTTTGAGCTCTGAAATGTGCAACAGCATTTTTCTGAAAAATGTTTTCATTATGTGCAAAACCAAGAATGCAGTTTTGCAAGCTGTCCTTTTCAAAAACTAACCTCTCACAACATGGACTCATGGCTCGCTGCTTAAAAGGATCCCCAATTAGTTGTAACATTAGACTTTTTTTGATAAACATATATTTTAACTGTAAAATCTAAACTAAAAATACTGTAGGATGTTCAGTTTTTATCATTTTTAAACTAAAAGTTTAAAAATGATAAAAATGGATAGAGTAATTTTATTTACACACAAAGCATTCTGGGTAAATGATGACGTGGATAGGTCCTCGGTGCGAGGCTGCTAGCGAGCTATATCCACCCTGAAGGTTAATCTTGGACAATATCTGATGATCGACTCTTTTAAATGAAACCAGAGAGCGTTGACAGAGAGGAGAAGGTAGAAATGACTCAGCCTGGAACTGAAAATATGGATGGAGGACAACAGAGCTGCTTCATGGAAGAAGAACATCAGCTTAGCCTGTTAGCTTTAGCATTAGCGCCAATGTTATCACAATATGTATGTATTAGCTCAGCGCTACACATTCTCCTCTCGTCACTGAGGTCCTCCATCCACATGACAGAGAGGGGAACACAAAAATGACTCAGCTGCAACTGAAAATATGGATGGAGGACCTCAGTTTAGCTTGTTTGTCGTGCTAGCGCCGAGCTAACACATATAAGGCAATATAGCTTCGGTGCTAGCGCAAAAGCTAACAGGCTAAGCTGAGGTTCTTCTTCCATGAAGCAGCTCTGTTGTCCTCCATCCATATTTTCAGTTCCAGGCTGAGTCATTTCTACCTTCTCCTCTCTGTCAACGCTCTCTGGTTTCATTTAAAAGAGTCGATCATCAGATATTGTCCAAGATTAACCTTCAGGGTGGATATAGCTCGCTGGCAGCCTCGCACCGAGGACCTATCCACGTCATCATTTACCCAGAATGCTTTGTGTGTAAATAAAATGGCTCCGTCTGTGTTAAAATATATTTTTAAAAATTTACAAAACTAAACATCCTACAGTATTTTTACAGTCTTTATTTTACAGTTAAAATAAATGTTTATAAACTAAAGTGTGACGTTACGATTAATCAGGGATCCCTTTAAAAACACTCAGATTTCACTCAGACTGCAACAGAAAGTTCATGTCTTTTCCTGCAATGTTGAGACACCAACTATTTTCTGAGGTATTTGAAGGATCTTAATGCCGATTATAAGCTTATAAAATGTCTAAAAAGGCACAATTTGTTCGCTTTGATTCCTAAAATGATTTTAGTTGCATCTTGAATTTGTCAATTCATTGTTTCTTGATCAACTTGTGTTAAAATTTCTTGCCAGAATTTATTTCTTGTGCCGATTTATTACACTGTAACAAAACTTTAAGTCCCATCATGCAGCTGCACAAGGAGCACAGAGCCTTTTTTTTTTGCAAAAGAAATGAGTTTATCTGCTCTCAAAACTAGTTGTCTGTAGTTTTGAATGATTTGCTTGATTTTAATTTTACTATAACTCATTATTTTAATCATAATGGTTTCTAAAAGATCCTAAAAAGTTTAAAATTTCTGGACTGAAACTTGCAGAAACTCTGAGATATTAACTTTCATAATAGTTTTTTTTCTGCCACCATACTTTCCAAAATGTGCTGCATCATGTGCATTAAAAGCAGAACTGCTGCCGTGTTTCTAAAGGAAGCTGTGACCCTCTGCCCACAGATGCAAAGAGGCGTGTGTGTGTGAGGCTTGCAGAAACACCAGCGTGTCCATGGAGAGAGTGTGTTCTCTCAGCAGCCCCGACAGCAGCCTCAGCACCAGCTCCTTCGTCTCCACCTCCCTGCAGTCCAGTCCTTCAGCATCGCCGTGCAAGAGGCCCAACAGGTCGGCTTCAACCCAAACAAAGAGACTGTTGGACCGGTTTCTGTCCGATCCTCTGAGTCACTTCTGTTTTTTTATTTTCAGTATGTCAGAGGACGACGGTCACGAGAGCGGTTGTGACACGGTGGAAGGCTCGCCCACGTCCGACACATCCACCTCCCCACGAGGCAACCGTGCCTACCGTTACCTCAACAACAACAACAACCGCCCGCCTCTGGCCGGCACGCTGGCACCCCTGACTTCCCCCGCCGAGCCGGACCGGAGCCCCCGCGGCATCAGGACCATGGTGGTCCCACCCATGAGAGTGCAGGGCAACAACGCTCACTGCACAGACGAGCGCGTCCAGAGAACAGGTGGGTGAACACGTTTATTTGACCTGTACGTGACTGTTGATTAGATCTGTACAGACCACCTGTGATGTGGTCCGTCACCTGTGCTTTGCAGGTCATATGGACGCAGGCGGGGCTTATCGCCCCCTATTGGCTCATAGAGGCTTTAACAGGTGATCGAGAGACACCAGCAGAGAGGTTTATGTAGCTTTTTACCTCATATATGCATCTTTAGCTGGCAAGCAGGTTCTTTCTATTTTTAAAATGTTTTTATGAAGATTTTCTTATTTTTAAATTTTAGATGATTTTTTACATTGTTTGACAAAACCAAACAAAGCAGTTTACTGGAGTTAATTTGAACTTGATACAGTAAAAATATACTTTTTAATTTGCTTGTTGTGGAGGGAAACTGTGGGATAAATCTTGTTCCAGCAGGAACTGAATTTGAATTGCTCAGATTGAATCTGAATCTATTAAATTTCTAATTATGGACATTCAGATTCGATTCCTGCTGGCACAAGATTTATCCCATAGGAAAGGAGGATGCATATGATCTGGTACTCGGCTAAAACCTGATAAATTTTCGCTCTCTGCTGGTTCTCGTTGTGCAGCTGCAGTAGTTGCCTGAGGATTCTGATGTGAGGTCAGTTTGATCATTTCTGATGCTTTAAAACTGATCCAGATCAGAATCCGAGGATCAACTGTTTCTACGTCCCTCCTGAGTGCCAAAAATCTTTCTTCTTTTCAAGGTTTTTAAGTTTGTTGACTTTATTTTGCAATTATTAAAAAGTGTGTTGATTTGAAAATAGACTCTTAATTGAAATAATTATATTTCCCTTTTTAAGTAATGGTTTCATTGTGTTTCCAAGTGTAAATTTTAAAATGAGTTGTAAACACAAGCTTTGACTGTGGAGTGCATTCTTGTTTGAAGTCTTTTTGTTTCCACTTCACTCTCTTCAGCTCTGCAGGATGTGTGGACAGCTCCTTCCAGCTGTTCTCAGACATGAGCACTTTTCTTGACTGACTTCCTGTTTTCCATCTGCTCCAGTCTCAGAGTCCTGGTCCCGGTCCAAAGGGCGCTGCAGCCTCATAGGGCAGCAGAGCACTGCCTCCTCCGTCCCCCTCTTCCCTTCCGCCCCCATCTTGTCCCGGCAGCAGAAGGTGACAGGGCAGCAGCACCCTCTGAGCTTTGGTCAGGTCAGTTCACCGGTGTTTATTTTCCTCTTTTAAGGCCATGTTTTAACGGGAGGTGTGAGAAAATATCGATACACAGAAATATTGTGATATGTTTGTTTTCATCGTTTGTATTTATTTGTTGTTTGTTTTTGTTGTTTGTATTTATTTGTTTTCATCGTTTGTATTTATTTGTTTTCATCGTTTGTATTTATTTGTTTTCATCGTTTGTATTTATTTGTTTTCATCGTTTGTATTTATTTGTTGTTTGTTTTCATC